CCTCGAACCTACTAGCGATGGCCTCAAACCTACTAGTGATGGCCTTCTACCCAGTAGCGATGGCCTCCAACCTGCCAGCGATGGCCTCCACCCTAGTAGCGATTGAGCTCGGAATCTTGAGGAACTCTATTGCCACCTTTCTGCTGACCTACCAGTCCCACAAGATGGAGTTGGTGATCAACGGCCAGAAAGATGTCAAAGGCACCCAGCCGTGCGCCGTGCGGTTGTCGTTGTCGCTCGGGTCTTCAGGTCTGAAAACTGGACGTGCTGGACGATGGCAGTGAAACGGGACCAGGACAGGATGGAACAGGTAAAGAAGGCTGAAGGCTAAACAATGTATTTTCTCAACAGTTTCTGCTTGGAAGGCCCAAATGCAACACATTTGGGAACACTTAGGTAAAGCCTACCTTTGGTGGATCATAGTGACCTGTGACTTTGCCCACTCATGTAACCAAGCGACAGCTCACAGAATGAGGACCAAGGAAGACCCCTGAACCATGAAGATGGCCACCGCAATCTGTTTAGGGTTGCGAGATACTTCGATCTACTTTGCAGGTGACGAGAAGACGTGGATGGACCGGCCCCACATTCGCTTCATTGGGGAAACCGGGAAGGAAGACACCAAGTGGTACAACCACAAGCAGCAGCCTGGAGAATTGAGCGTGTTGAGCTTCTGGGGGTGCACTGCTTCCGGGCGGTCATTCTTCGAGTGCAAAGATTCACTGTTGGAACTGATCGATAAGAAGGTGTGAGATGGGTGTTTTCACAATGTGAGAGACAGTGTGATACACCCATGTGGCTTGTTTGCTATCCACCTCTTTTGCTCTCCTTGCCAAGCTTTGCGAAGCCTTGCTACCTAGTACTACCTCCTTCCTCTTTGGTGCGTGCTATTGCTAGCTTAGCTGTGGCTTAGGAACGACGCCTTGGGCTATTTCCTCTGGGCACGATGCCAGCTGGCGCTAGCTGGCAAGATGCCTTTCACCGGGGAGCACCTGAAGCTCTGCGGAAGCTGGGCTGCTTATGGAGGTGCCAGCTAGCGGCGGATGCTAGCGGTCCTGCGAACTTTGGCGGTCTATCGACTTTGTCAAACAACATCCTTCATGAGAATCTGTCAAATCTACAGGCATAAGCTTGACTACATCTATCTACATCTACTATCTCTATCGTAACGTGAATCTCACTGTGCCTTGGGGCCAAAACGCGGCTCAGGCCATTCGGCACACCCCTCAGATATCCTGAAAATCAATCTACCAACCTGCAGAATGATCGGCAATGGCAGTGGATCATCGTTGTCCTTGACTCCCGAGGAGCCAAGGAGTAGGAAAGCAATGGAAAGCATCGTTTTGGACCACAGGAAACTGTTGTCCAGGATGGTTGGTGAATCATTTAGAATGGTATTCTAAATGTATATCATGGTTCATCAGCTCTTTCAGCTGCGGCCAAGGACAGCTCTTCGACTTCCTTCGAACGATTGAATGCTTTTGAACTGCAAGACAGCTGCGACATGCGTGACACATGTGACCCATGTGATGCACCTGACCATGAGGCTACCCCTCAATCGTTTACGGACACTTGGGACTCATCGGAGCGGACACTTGGGGACGACCCTAGTGGCCAGGAGCGGCCCGAACGTAGCGTCCGAACGCTCCCAGTACGGCCAGGATCCCCGTTCGTAGCGATGCCAGGAGAAAGGCTTGAGAAAGGCTTGTTGGATCATCGGTTTTTCTCTTCAGTGTAGGGACAGTGTGGAAAGGGCTTGATGAGGGATGTCTCCAGTGCCCTACTCGTTCTGAATACACGAAGGAGTTGCCTAGTCGACAAGGCCAAAAGCAACACTTGTAACCTCTTGCTTGTTGCTTGATATATAACCCGAGTCAATGTGTTTTGTTTCTCCATTTGGTATGCCTCACAGTGTGCCCCAGGGTTATTCTGGAATGTACTGTAACAGCTTCTTGAGTTGACCAATTGAACTGTGCATCGCGTGAGACTCTCCTGGAAGCAAGAAGTTGATTTGTCCAACGGGTTGATTTGGTCAGAACCTCGGGGCACGAAAAAAATACGGTCCCCGTCGACAAGGCTGTCTTTTTTTCCCGATTCTGCGAGCATGGACACCCAGAAAATGGTCACATGAGATGACTGGGAACCAGGGATGTTTTTTCGTCTTTTGAGTTCCTGACGAGCATGAGGTTGGGATGATTTGGATGCGGGACACTGGGAGGAGAGCTGGAGGGATGAGCCTGGCGGAGCCTGTGGAGGGAGGTCTGAGGAATGCCTGGAGAGATGAGGAGATCTTGGATGAGATGGGACATACATGAGGAAGGATGAGAAGAACGACAGCATGTCGGATGAGACCAAGACCTCTGGGTAGACCCCCAAAAGGATGACATCAAAACAGTATCCTCTTGGAGTGAGGGCAGTGAGGTTGTAAAATTCGTGTCTTGGAACCAATGGGAGGCATGCGTACAGGTGCAAGCCGGGTGATCGATTGATCATGGCAGTGATCGTTTGGAGGCCATCACAGTTTCCGTTTGACCACCACCCTCCGTCTCGAATATGAAGAAGGAACACATGGGCCCTTTCTTGAGAGAGGTCTGATGCACGGTTCTCGGCCCATCAGGAGCATTCGGCTCAGCATGCCTCTTCTTTGGGCCCCGTCCTCGCTGCTGTCAAGAGCTTCCAGAAGGTGCACCGTCGTTCGTGGATCGGCTGACTGTGACTGGTGGGGATAGTCCTAGTCCTACATGCACAAGATCCGCAGTCCACAGCCCTAACTTCCATATCTCACCATTATACCAAGATCTCGACGCATTGATGCATCTAAAAGGGCTGGAGCTGGTGAGAAAGGTGTTGGTTATGTGGGGCGGGCTCATTCTTCTGTGGGTTCCGAATGGACACTTGGGCACTGTCTTGCCTGAAGGGTTTAAAAACACGAATGCCTGTGACATCTGTGCAGGCTCCTTTTGTTTCGACAACTTGCTTAAGACTTGGTTTGATGATGTTTGATAAATTTGGATCCAGCCTAGCGGCCTAGCTGTTCTGCCGCAGGGGCAGTGCAGCGAGCATCCCTTTGGAAAGGCCCTTCACATGCTCTTGAAAGATATCCAGGACCAAAAGTCCTTCCAGACCAACGTTAGATTCTCAGACCAAAGGTATCATAAATTCGTAGATTTCACATTTCTCATCCGAACTCCGGTTCCGAAAAAACACCCGGCGTACTCCCTGCTCGGTTTTGTTGCCCTGCTTGGCTTCACGAGGTGCTTCGATCCAACCCAGGCGGGTGAACGGGCGGTTTGGGAGACAGGCAGACATCGAGGATGAAGACAATCGGGCGCACCTAGGCAGTGGTCACACCGTGTGGTCCGCTTTGTCAAAGAGGTTGCCCCTCCATGGGCTGTACCCAACCCTAGATTCAAGAAGCACTCGAAAGGAGACTGGAAGTTGAGCCTCTGTCAAATTTCAAGAATCAGGTTGGAAGATGTTGAGAAGGGGCTGGTGGGCAGGTGAAGTGTTGTGGAAAGACGCAAGAAAATCACTTCTATCATCTTCTATGTGAGTGTCCAAATCAGACCAGTTTTCCAAATCCGACCAGTTTTTCATGTTTTTTCCTGCTCAACAGTTTGCAACTTTCTCGGGTGAAGGCTATTTGAGCGTTCGCGACCAATCCACCTATTTCTGCAGGGTGGCTCTTCCCTGGGAAGAGCGACACCTTGAGCGTTCTGGAAACCAAGTTGGAGGCGATGCTCACCTGGGCGCTGCGTCGTTCTTTGCTGTTTCGCATCGGATGCGGACAACGGATGAATCTCGCTTCGCTGCAGGCATCACCAGACTTCCTTTTAGCACTTGCCTTGCTTTGTGGTCAAGGTACACTCATGGTCTTTCCTGGGTGGGTGAGCATTGGAAGGTCTGGTTTCAAAAGAGACCTATATCGTAGATGCCACTGTCCCGACCACTTGTATTCGACTGGAGCTGACGCTTCAGGGTATCGGGACACGAGAGGAGCCTGAACGACTTCAAGGATTGGTTGGTACATGTTGGTACTTGCTCCTAGTAGCGATGCCCTCTAGTAGCTTCTTGTTCCTAGTAATAAGGCCAGGAGCTACGAACGTAGCGTCCTTGCTCCGTTTGTAGCGATGCCCTTATGTACTATTGGATAGAAGTTCAATCACATGGAGGTCAAACAAGTTGGACTCATCCCTCCAGCAGCCACGCGAATCCCGGGAAGCAGAAACATGGGACAAACCTGCTTGCTTTCTCCTATCTGGCTTCGGATGCCTTCTGGTCGGACTTGCAAATCTCACGAAGGATATGTGTCAGCATGTGAGTGGTGCATTCTGATTGACTTCTTTCCATTAGTTGACAGTTTGTAACAACCCTCAAAGTTGTAGGCCATTGAAATGTAACACGTTGCGAGGAAAACTGGATGATCTGGAACCGTGAATCTGGAACTTGTCGTTCGAAGACGCGTTTTTCCTCACGTCCAATCCCCCAAGCAGTGCAGTTTCAGTAGCCCAGGCAGCCCTGAAGACGATCTTGCCCAACGAGGTGGTGAAGCCACCGAAGAACAAGAAGGCACGGCACAGCTGAGCTGCCGAAGAGCGGTGGGAAAAAAGGGGGTTTATCGACCGAGAGAGTGGGGAGAGAGTGAGGGAAAGAGTGGTTGGCGCACAACAGTTCTTTTTTCTTTAGATTCGAGTGCCATGTCATGTCACAGAATTGGCATGTCACCCAAGTTTTAGCTTGTCATCAGGTTGATGCGAACTAGCTCCTGTCTTCAGACATCATTCTCGGCTGCAAGCACTTCAACACCTTCGATCTTCTCAACACAAATGTTTGGCTTTCGGTGCGGTGCCTCTTTGGACACCGACCCAACCCCAGAAGTGCCGCAGACCAACGCGGACCCATATAAGATCATATAAGTGTGTATTGAAATAGCCTGCTGGAAGAAGGAGACTAGACCAGTCTACCCATTGGGCGGCGGTTCCCAATATTCAATATTGAAGAAACCAACTCGACAGAGACACTGACCAGGACGCCGATGGAGCCTTGATTTTCCTTTGCTACCCGTTGGAGGTGGTGCCGACCGCCGGGCAGCCAAACTACCGGCATCTAGCAAACTATTGCTTTTTTTGACTTCTTCCTTCCAATTTTGAAGTTGGCCATTTTCTCATCCTTTCTCCATTTCCGGTGTGGTGTAAGTCATCCATCCTGAAAAAAAGAAGCTCGCACAAAAAGCCGAACCTGCGACTCCAAGGCCATGGGTGAGCAGATCTTAGAGAGGCTCGAGACCATCACCGGCCACATCGCAGTGTGCAGGTGACGGCCGCTGGGACTCGGTCGCCCCGCGGAAACCATTGTTTCTACTAATAGCTGTCCCAAAAGGAGCTCCTTGTTACTAATAGCTTCTTGTTACTACTAATAAGGCACTTGTTACTAGAAGCGATGCACTTGTTCCTAGTAGCTTCTTGTTACTAGTAGTAGGAATGCTCCGTTCGTAGCGATGCCAGGAGCTCCGTTCGTAGCGATGCCCTTTGTTACGTTCATAGCAAACCTTGTTACTAGTAAGGCCAGGAGCCCCGAACGTAGCTTCTTGCTACTAGTCCAGTTGGAGAAAGGACAGCAGTTTCGGGAGGTTCCAAATCAAGGTAGCCAACATGGGTCTCTCAGGGAAAGATGTGCTCAATGGATGAAAGACTCTGCATATTTTTCCATCTTGCAAGGGCCTAAGCAGCAAGGTTTCAAGGCAAGAGTCCTGGTCAGCTCTGCGTGCTGTGCACTTTTCACTTGAACCACCAAAACTACTAGTGCAGACTTTCTAACTGCGAGGGCAACATCAACTGCCCCTTTGAGTCGTATTGTGCGGCGGTGCCCATGTTCCAGAAGATCACTGGTATGCACTTGCTCCTAGTAGCGATGCCGCGATGCCCTTGTTACTAGTAGCGATGCCAGGAGCTACTAGTAGTGTCCTTGCTCCTTAGGAAAGCCAGAAAGTGTGGCACTTTGACCCGACTCTCAGCCAGGTATCGGAAAGACAGCTATTGGCCTGGCTCTCAGATGTCCTCATCCTGGAGCAAAAGACAGTGGTAGCATCCTTGTTACTAGTAGCTTCTTGTTCCTAATAGCCATGGCCTCCACCTAATAGCGTCGTTGTTACTGGCAAGACAGGCACCTCTAGTTCGGGGTTGTTTTGTCAACATTCCATCATCTTCCAGAGCATTTCTACCGGTGACTTTGTGCACAGAGGTGTAGGTGCTATTGGAGACCTCCGACGTGATATTTCACCAGTCCGGTTATGGAGGTGACAGTCCCCACCCTGGTTCCTACAGCATGCCGTTGTGGACGGCACCATGCCCGGACAGCCAAATCCATCGCCCAAATCGCTAGTTTATTTATACTTCTTTCTGGTTGCTTGTGAGCTATGCTTGTATGTCCACGTGTTGGAGGGTGTTGCAAGCGACAGCACGACAGCTTTGGCATTGGAGCCACAGGGGTCCTTGTCATTAATGCTTGGCTAACAAAACCATTCAACAAATAAATTGCTTTGCACATGTTCGCTAGTAGGTTGGAGGCTATAGCTCTTAGGTTGGAGGCCATCGCTAGTACGTTGGGGGGGCAGAGCGGCCTTTAAACAAGTGAAGTAAAGGAGCTCCCTTTCAGATACCGGAGTGGCCACCCGGACCCAGTCACCTCGTAGACAGCGGAGACAGCATTGTGCCAGGTGCAAGGACTACAAGGAGCAACGTGTGCTGGGTTTTCGCTGGCGCCTGAACTGTGGGGGGGGTAACACGGCATGCTGTTCGTTCAGCAGGAGAGGGGAAGCATGGTGGCTTCTGTTTGGTGAATTCTTTGCCCTGGTGCAGAATGGGAATCGCCCGACACTTCCCAACCCATTTCGGGGGATTGCCCATTTCGGTGTCAGCCAAGCAAGGAGCTCTATGCAGATCCCACGAAACACTTTACAGACGAAGAGCTCAAAGAGCGCGACGCCAATATCAAGCCGGGCGAGGAGGACTGGCACTCGGGCCGTTCTCTCATCTCCGGTTGGGGGGGGCTTCCGCTATTAGGTTGGAGACCATCGCTAGTAGGTTGGAGGCTACTAGGAGCAAAGGGCATCGCTAGTAGGAGCAAGAAGCTACTAGTAACAAGGACGCTACTCGGGGTGACCCGAATCGGATGGATGTTCCCCCCCGTGAACTCGACCGGTCGAGGTGACGCGCCGACCGCGTGGTGCGTTGGTTTGTGAGGCACAGTGGTGCCTTTTCGACCCCATGATCAGCGCCTACTACGGCGGGGATTTCAGTCACATGTCGAGTCAAGTGAACTTGAATGCACCACTGCCTTAAACCAGCTGTTAAAAGACAAAGCTGTTAAAATGCATGTGCACATGGACGCTACTAGGAGCAAAGGGCATCACAAGGATGCTACTAGGGGCTCCTGGCCTTACTAGTAGTAACAAGGGACGCTGCTAGGAACAAGTGCATCGCTAGTAGTAACAAGTGCCTTACTAGGAGCGATCGGACGCTACGAACGGGGCTCCTGGCATCGCTACGAACGGAGCAAAGGGCATCGCTACGGCCGTCGAGGGCTTCGGATCGAAGTTCTGAATCCTTCGGATCCCACAGGCAAGCTGTACCAGACCACGACCAAGGACGGAAGGGCTCGTCCCAACGTGTGGAAATCAATGGTTAGCAGACTGGTCAATGGACCGGTCAACCGCCGGACATACGACATGTCAGTCTATTTAAAGTCTATTAATTGTTTCTATTAGCTTCTTGTTACTACTAGTAAGGCCAGGAGCCCCGTTCGTAGCTTCTTGCTCCTAGTAGTAAGGCACTTGTTCCTAGTAGCGATGCACTTGTTCCTAGTAGCGATGCACTTGTTACTAGTAGCGATGCACTTGTTACTAGTAGCGATGCACTTGTTACTAGGTAGTGCCGAGTGCCCAAGAAGGACGAGAAGAGGACTTGTTTGCCGTCACTGCTCGACAGGAGGAGTACCTGAAGAAACAGCAATTGTACCTGGCTAGGCCAGTTGTCGGAATTCAGACCCAAGTGCTAGTGGTCGACTGATACTGCGCTTCTTTCCTAGCTCATTCTCCGGAGCTATCACCCCTTGGTGGAAAACAGTAGACATCCATCCGACTTGAAACATCCATCCCGGAAGGCTGTAGCAAGACTGGACGCCGAAATGAAACCATCCCGAAAAGAGATCAAAAGAGCAGATGCCTCTTCCGCTCTTCACTTCATCCACTCACAGGACATGTTTTGTTAAAGATCGTATGGAAGATGATGACAATAGGAAGCTACTAGTAACAGGTGCATCGCTAGTAGTAAGTGCCTCGCTACTAGTAACAAGTGCCTTAAACTAGTAGTAACAAGAAGCTAATAGAAACAGTTTTGCCTCTTCACCTCCAGGTCGTGTAGGCGAAGCGAAGATTAGTTTTACGTCCGGAGCGTTCGGACGCTACGAACGTAGCTATTTGCTACTAGTAGTAATGCCGTTGTTACTAGTAGCATCTTGCTCCTGGTAGTAAGGCCAAGAGCCCCTAGTAGCGATGCCCTTGTTCCTAGTAGCAAGGACGCTACTAGGAGTCCCATCGAACTCTCCTCAGGGCCTTGGCCGCCATCACTGGGGACGACTGCGAGTTTGGTCCGGGCACCGAGGGCCATCATGGGGCGCAGGGCGGAGCCATCACGAGGGCAGTCCATATGGTTGAAGCAAGAGCTGGCGTTACTGTATGTGTTACATATTCTTTATACAGTGATACACCATAATATATATATATGTGTGTGTGTGTACTCTCTTTTCTTTAAGCAGTAACACTCGTTTTTGTCGGCGAATGTTTCGGTGTCGAGCATTGCTCCTAGTAACAATAAAGCTACTAAAAGAAGTTTTCTTCATTGCTATCCTCACTGAGGTGCTTGGATGTGCGCGGAGGTGCCGCGTTAGTCGCGAGCACACGCGGATTCACGGCGCGACGGCGCGATCAGGCGTTTGATGTATACAATCCCAACGATGTCGATGGGTTGTATATCAATACAACGATGGGTTGTATCATCCCAACGATGTTTTCTATCACACAACGATGTTAACGATGGGTTGTATACCCGACTGTCCCCTACAAACAGGAAGGTTTTCCACTTCCATGCTTTTCGCATACATCCGTGCTTGGTTGTGTGATCCAAACAGTAAAGTATTCCGAAGGTGCTGAATTTGCGTTTTCCCCAGATAGCTGAAAGCTACGGGGGTTCTTAGGTGCCTGATCGTCGTTTTGGTTTGCCGCTGAACAATTTATGCCTCGTCTCTTATTCTTACCTTTGGTTACGTGCGCTTACCTTCCTTGTCTCTTCTAAGATCTCCCTGAAAGTAAGCTCGAAGGTCGGCCTTCATGGTTGATCCTTAAGTGAGAAGTAAAATTGCAACAATCTGGTGGTCGGTACTCGAACTAATCCATGTACAGCATAGTTACATATATATACATTGATCCCTTTTCAACCACCCAAATGTAGGGAAACATCGTATACATGGAGAGTTGCTGTGAAAAATCTTTCGGAAGACCAGAAGACCCCTCTTTGTTGACAGAGATAAGGCTCCAGCTGAATCCGGGAGCTGCACCTAGGGGTGCTCGTACAAAGACATGGTCATGGTCGTGCCTAGATTTACGAAATCGATTGGGAAACTGAACTTTGGCAAGTCCCGCATCTCTTTTTTCCAGCCGAACTCTGCATCTGTTGCACGACCCATTGTTGAAAGAAGATCGAGTCTGCTTGAGAATTCCCGCTTTCGACCGTTGGGTGGCTTTTGGAGTCCGATCACACACCATCTGATCTTGCTCATTACGTGAGAAGCTGCTAGGAACAAAGGGCATCGCTAAGAACGGAGCAAGGACGCTACGTTCGTAGCTCCTGGCCTTACTAGGAACAAGGACGCTACTAGGGTGGAGCCCATCGCTAATAAGAAGCTCCGTTCTCTTTCCTTTTTGGTTTCCAGTTTGGTCCGTCACGGAACCCCCCCAAAAACTTCCGGGTTCTAAAGAAGCTGGGTCCAGGTCGGCGAAATTTCAGACCTTCATCGGTTCCCTTTCTTAAAGTATAGTTCAGCTGTTTTCTTTTCATCTTCTTGCTTCCCCTCCTCACCACTCAATTAAGTAAGAGAGAGGTAGCTAGGTACAGAGGTCCGGTTCCGACACACGCCGACTGAAGCGATGGAGACGTGAGGCCTTCTACCTCGCAAAGGGCAAATGGCAGCCCAACGACAACACACCCTTGGCCGCCTGGTGACAGCCAACGACATGGCTAGACCGTGGCAGACCGCGAAGAAGCACGCGATGACAAAAGGCTGAAGAGTGGAGCCCTATGGAACACGAAGTGGCTGTGGGGAGGAGGAAACGACCCTCCAAAGTTTTGATAACGGTATGAATTTTGATTGTGATCCATTCAATAAGTCACTTAAAGATGCTGTCCTTCATGGGGTTCTTTGCTTCGGGTTTTCTGTGCCTTCTTTCGACCTCCGAATGTCCGGCCGCAGACCTCCGACCGAAACTTCGTGAGGCTGTTGCCTCGTTTTCCGGTCGCCCTCGGCCGAGAGCACATGTTCTCCTCGGCCGACTGGAATCACCTCGAGGTTTGACAACTGAAGAGTTGCAGATTCACGGCTGAAACTCTCCACCCTAGTAGCAAGAAGCTACTAGGTTGGAGGCCATCGCTACTAGTAGCAAGAAGCTACGTACACCACCCTTTCCAGCTTTTTGATTAAACTCGGCGACTTGGGCCTGTCGGGCGTGTTCACCTCAGAGTCCCACCCGGGTCCCGGCTCCGCGTCAACCGGAAGAAAACGTGCCGACTGCGTCGCAGCCGGGGCACTTCTGAAAGAAATCCCTCATTAAGTTGCCTGAGCGCTCGAGCACAGCAGGGCCTGTAGTCAGAGCACCTTTTGTTTTCTGTGAACCTGCACCCTCTGCATCGAAGGACAAATCGGGGGTTTCTCGGTGTTCGTACGTGGTCTCCTAGGTCTGGACCATGGTGGACCTCAAGATGGCCATCTATGAGATGGAGATCAGCTTGGGTGGCACTGGACACTTACATCAAACAAGCCCACAAAAAGCACCAATTGAAATCGGTGTGGGTGTGTCGCTTCTTTGGATTTTTGTTTGAATTGGATCAGTTGGGATATGTAACGTTGGATCAGATGCCTCATGTCTTGTCTCTTTGCATGTTTGACACCAGGCTTTTCCGGGTGGGTTTCAGGTGAGAATTGGCCACTTCGTTGTGACAATGGAACATGGAGACAATGCAAGTTTGGGAGAGACGACGTGTACTGCTTTGGACTACTACCGCCGTGATGACCAGCGATTGAGACGATGTTTACACATATTTTCCATGAGGACATAAGCAAATGAGCAAACGCAAGTAGCAATTGAGGCTTTGAGATACTTTGATTGTGATCTCCGGTTGGCCCTGAGAACAAGAAATTCTCATACTCATCCAAAGAGGACTCTAAGAGGACCTGCGAATTGTCTGAGCCTTTGTCGGGTCCAAACCACAGCGAGTTCAGCGTCCTTTTTGTTTTTTTCATTTTCCTTAAAGAACGAAATTCGGACGGGTGTTGATGAACAGACGAATTGCCAAGTGGCAGAAACATGCGCGATTCCATAGCTAGGGGCGGTTGGAGGCCATGGCTACTAGGGTGCACGCCATTACTAGTAGGGTTCCTTTTGCTAATAGGTTGGAGGTGGAGGCCATCGCTGGATTCAGCACTTTGGCTCTCCAGTGTTGCCAAATCGGAGTTGAACTCAGGGCCCACGAGACTTGAGAATAGACACATGTGTCGAAGTCTCATGTGGTTGGCCAGGCCGGTCCAGGCCGGGGGTACTAGTACCTAATAGCAACAGCAACCCAATAGCAATGGCCTCCACCCTAGTAGCCATGGCCTCCAACCTAAGAGCGATGGCCTCCAATCCCAGAATTCCATCATCCAAGTCTCGGTCTCGTTTTTGCTCTCAGTCTCAGGCAAGCCTTCCTCGAGCTTGTGTGTCTTGAGCTGAGCTTGAGTTGACGCTTGGAGCAGCCACATCGGAGCCTTTGACACCAAAAAGCCCGGCACAGACGACTCAAACCGGCCACCCTGCGGAGTGGATCACAGGCCGTCTGCCCGGCGGACTGACCTCAGGAAAATGACTGAACCGGCCCAACCGACCATGAAGCGTCTAGGTTTCAACTTGGCAGAAACGGCCCTCTTTCCCCAATTGGGACGTTCAGAGGCTGCTTCATGCAAGGCTTGCGACGTGTTGCTTGCCAGCAATCGTTTTGGATTGATTTTACATTTACATTTTCCAGTCTCCACC